ATACTCTGCTTCTGTGGTTGGGAGAGCAACACTCTTTTGTAACCTGGACATCCAACTGATTGATGTGCCTCCAATTGTGAACACATAACCTGTTGTGCTCTTTCCTGAATCTACACATCCACCCAAATCAACATCGGCGAACCCTTCCAAGATCACACCCTTTCTTCTGAAACATAGGGCAACCTCAGATGTTCCTTTCAAGTAGCGTAACAACCACTTTACTCCCTCCCAATGCTCTTTTTTCCTGGATTTGACATGAACCTGCTCACAACTCCCACTGCATGAGCAATGTCTGGTCTGGTGCATACCATAGCATACATCAAGCTACCAACTGCAGATGCGTAGGGAACTTTAGTCATCTGGTTCTTGTCTTCTTCCGTCTTTGGGGATTGCTTCTTTGAGAGTCTCAACTGACTTCCCAAAGGTGTACTTCTGGTTTTAGCATATGCCATGCTGAACTTTTCTAAAACTTTCTTGAGGTACTTAGCTTGTGAAAGTTTTAATGTACCGGTAACTCTGTTCCTGGCTATGCTCATGCCCAATATCTGCTTAGCAGCCCCTAAGTCCTTCATCTCGAACTCTCTGGACAACTGCTTCTTAAGCTTGTTGATTTCTTTGCATGTCGGACCCAGCTATCAACATGTCATCAACATATAATAACAGGATGATGTATGAGGAGTTGAATTTCTTCAAGTAACAACAGTGATCCATTTCACATCTGTGATACCCACTCCTCTGCATGAAGCTATCAAACTTCAAGTACCACTGTCTTGGAGCTTGCTTCAATCCATACAGACTTTTCTTTAATTTGTACACCAGGTTTTCCTTGCCAACTGTTGGGAAACCCTCTGGTTGTGCCATGTAGATGTCTTCTTCCAGGTCACCATGGAGAAAAGCTGTCTTCACATCTAGCTGCTCTAGATGGAGATCTTCAGAGGCTACAATTCCCAAGACCATTCTGATTGTAGTCATCTTCACAACTGGGGAGAATATCTCGTTGTAGTCAACACCCCTCTTTTGTTGGAAACCCTTTACTACCAATCTGGCCTTGTATCTTTTAGTGCCATCAATCTCATCTTTGACCCGAAACACCCATTTGTTCTGCAGTGCTTTCTTCCCTGCCTGGAGCTTGACCAAGGACCAAGTATGGTTCTTATCAAGTGAGGTCAACTCGTCTTCCATAGCCGTCTTCCACTGTATGGAATCTTTCATCCTTAAGGCCTCTGGATAAGATTCAGGTTCACCATTCTCAGTCAACAGCAAGTAATAAGCTGAAGGAGAATACCTTACTGGAGGTCTTCGCGCTCTAGTGGATCTACGAATAATAGGAGTTTCGGTTTCTGCATCATCTGCAACCTCATCTTCTGAACTACTATCCACTGTGCTCCCACTATCTCCAGATACATCAGAGCTCCCACTGCTTCCTGAACTTTCACCTATCTCTGGAGTACTAATAGGTTTTACAACGTCATCGTTTGAGATTTCTTCTAACTCAACTTGATCCTTCTTTTCTGGTTGCTTGTCACCATTGGAGCTTTTTGCAAGTTCATCCTTGTATAGAGCATTCTCGTTGAACACCACATCCCGACTTCTGATAACTTTCTTATTCTCATTATCCCAGAAGCGGTACCCCATGTCATCCAACCCGTATCCTATAAAGGTGCACTTTCTTGCCTTTGCCTCTAGCTTGTCTCTCTCCGAGTCTTTGATTTTGACATACGAGACACAACCAAATACCTTCAAGTGTTTGAGCGAAATCTCCCGACCTTGCCATTCCTCTTCTGGAATCTTGAACCCTATGGGAACTGAGGGTCCTCTGTTGATTAAATATGCAGCTGTGTTGACCGAATTTGCCCAGAACATCTTGGGTAAACCTGCATGCAGTCTCATGCTTTTAGCCCTCTCATTCAATGTTCTGTTCATCCTCTCAGCTACTCCATTTTGCTGAGGTGTCTCCGGAACCGTCTTCTGCATTCTGATTCCTTGGTCAGCACAATAATCAACAAATTCTTTGCTACTGTATTCGCCCCCATTGTCTGATCTGAAACACTTGATTTTCAAGTTTGTTTCATTTTCTACAATAGCTTTCCATTTCTTGAATGTGCTGAAAACTTCAGACTTATGCTTCAAGAAATAAACCCAAACTTTCCTTGTGCAGTCGTCAATGAAAGTAACGTAATATCGGGACCCTCCCACTGAAGAAACTGAAGTGGGACCATAAACATCTGAATGTACTAGCTCCAACTTCCCGGACTTGGGAGGACGACCAGTCTTCACGAAAGTAACTTTCTTCTGTTTACCAAGAACACATGGCTCACATAAATCAACTGTTATAGTCTTCAGATCTGGAATTCTTCCTTTGGAGGCTAGCATCTTCATTCCCTTCTCACTCATATGGCCAAGTCTTTGGTGCCATAGAGTAGATGCCCCAACTTCTTCAACAGCATGTGCTTCAGCATCAGAAACTTCCACCATATAAAGTGTACCCCGCTTCTGACCTCTAGCAACAACTAAGTTTCCCTGTGTCACTTTCCACTGATGATCACCAAATGTAACATGGTGACCTTCATCATCAAGCTGCCCCACAGATATTAACATCCTTTTCAAGTCTGGAATGAACTTGACATTCTTCAAAGTCCACTTCGTACCCAAGGTTGTCTTGAGGACCACATCCCCAACTCCAGTAATATCCAGGCTCTTGTTATCTGCTAATCTGACTTTCCCTTTGTACTGCTTAAAATTATGCATTACTTCTCTAGAATGACTAGCATGAAACGACGCGCCAGAATCCATGATCCAGGATTCAGTTGAGTTTTCAACACAACAAATGAGTGCATCATCTTCAGAATCTGCTGCCATATTTACTTCCTTCTTGCCTTTGTCTGCCGAAGGCTTTGGGCACTGATTTCTGAAATGACCTTTCTCATTACAGTTCCAACAGGTAATATCTTTCCTGTTCTTCGATTGACCTCTCTTTCTTGACTTCGATCTTCCTCTACCACCACCTCCTCTGTTGGTCTTTCTTCCTCTGCCTTCAGTAGTTAGAAGACTACTGGAACCTTCTCCGGCACTCCTTCTGCGCACATCCTCACCAAGGATTAAATCGCGAATACCTTCGAATGATAGCTTGGCACCTCCGGCTAAACTGCTAACGGCGGTCACTGTGCCGGACCAACTATCGGGTAACGATGATAATAGTAGCAACGCCATGACTTCATCTTCAAATCCAATATCAACAGATATCAATCTTGATATTATTGAGTTGAATTCGTTTACGTGATCTGTCACCGAGCTACCCTCCTTCATCTTCAGATTTACAAGTTGCCGGATCAAGAAAACCTTATTTGCCGCTGAAGGTTTTTCGTACATATTAGACAGCGCATTTATCAGACTGTAGGTTGTCTTCACATTGACAATATTGTAAGCTACATTCTTTGCCAATGATAACCTTATCACTCCGAGTGCCTGCCGATCTAATAAGTCCCACTCCTCATGCGTCATCTCTTCGGGTTTGTCTTTGGACAAAGGTTGGTGTAACTTCTTCTGGTAGAGATAATCTTCAATTTGCATTTTCCAGAAACCGAAATCTTGACCATCAAATTTTTCGATCTTAACTTTCCCCATCTTCAGCCATAGCTCTGATACCAGTTTGTTGGGAATGCAACAAAACAAGTTAAGCACTTCTGAAAAATTGATATAACGATTTCGGCAAAACTCGCGGAATAAAACTACTGAAAAAATTGCAAACGAAATTGAACACGATATTTAACGTGGTTCGGTCTAATCTGACCTATATCCACGGGCGAACGAGAGAGAGAGGATTTTATTAACACTAAAGAAATTACAATCATACAAGGCTAAAATCTGCCCTTGTAATCTGATCACTCACTGTAAGATATCACTCGTAATTTTTGGCTGCCAAAAAAATTAAGGTTCTGCACAAAAATAATACCTCACTAATTTCTTTTCTGTGTATATATAAACTTGTGTTGTGTGTTGCTTGCTGCGCTCTGTGCTTGAAAGAAAGATGAATATTTATAGTAGTAAATGCCGTAAACATTTATTTTCCTTCCTTTAGTGCGGCCGATTTTCTTGACAAATAGAGCCGTCCAAATCTTTTGACCATGCAAAAAATGCATCCAATTAATAATTCTCCACCGTCCAATTGAATATTTAATTCAAAGTTTGCCGACAACAATTGAATAATTCAATTGTTAAATGTAATGTTATATTTATGGCCCTTGAACTCTTAGGAACTTGTCAATTTGTTCAAGACTCCATAAGTCTTAACAAGATATTAGCCATGCTATTCACTTTTTTTTTTTGGAAACTACGGAAATATATTAACCACGACATGCTATTCACTTACTTTTTCGCTGGTACGGTATATTTGTTCCCACGTTTGATAATATTGGAGAAATGCTTACTTTTATAAAAATTGGGAGAATTGCAGTAAAAAGCGAAGTAATCTTCTAGTGCGCTGTGGTTAATATGGAGGGCAAGATGTGACAAAATTTTCATGAATCTAAGAAGCTCCCCAACAAAGGTTGCAGATAATGTTAAATCCATAGTATTCATTTGGCTCATATACATGAGAACAAAATGTCATTATTATTAATGGGTACAATGGTGTATTAACCCTTTTGTTTGTATGTAAAAAACTTATATATGCTTTCTCTTTGCCCCATCTAGCATCTTACTAGTTGGTGGCCTTTTTTTAACAAGATTTGCCGGTTCCAAAGAAAGAAAGCTAAAGGATATAAAGAATGTTTATTTATTTCTATTGAATGACATGTATTTATGTTTATACATATCTTAGAGTCGACTGAGACATCCCTCATGGTTTTTTTCTTAGACATTTCACGATGTATTAAATATGTAAAAATTTATATGGCATTTTTCGTTTTGCTTTATAACTAAACATGGTGTTTCAAAAGCATTTTCAAATCGGGTCTAATTTTATAAATATATACGATTGCCGCGAAACTAATATGATAGCTTGACAGCTCTTACATAAATACACGAACCCCGTCTTTAAATTTACAAAGATCAAAATTTGCAAGATATACATACTGATAACTCATGACCCGATATCTAACACAATCACTACCCACATTTTGATCCGATTTCCTCTAAATCCATATCCATTTTTATCTTCTTTTGTACACACAATGCTACCCTTAGACTCCTCTCTTCTCCTAAATCTTTAACCATGATAAGATAACTTTAAAAGCTACAGCATCTTACCTTGGCAAGAAACGACTATGGGAAACAGTAGCAACCGACCCTAAATCATCATCATCATGGTAACGTTGTAGTTTCTCCTCAAGTTCATTAAATTCATTTCTATCGATAAATGGGGGATTTGAGGGGGTAGGTAAGGGTTCATCATCTTTTACAAGCATTTTTAGTGCCATTGATATGGAAGGTCTTAACGATGGAGCTTCTTGGGTGCACAAGAGTCCTACATGTACCACTTTTACAGCCTCCTTTTTGAAACTATGTTTCGGATACGTGTTATTAAACATTAGGTTTGGATCAAGTATTTCCTCCACTGTACCTTGTTGGAAATGTGTCCATGCCTGTTTCAACAAGAGATTAGAAAACGAAATGTTGGAATTAAATATAGTTTTATAAAGTTTTATACTTACAATTGATACTAAACTGTCTGAATCTTCCGAGTCTTTGCTTCTATTGTTTTGCATTCCAGTAACTACCTCCAACAACAACACACCATAACTATACACATCCGCCTTTTCGGTTAACTGACCAAACGCCAAATACTCCGGAGCCATATATCCACTGGTAAAGGATGAAAATTGTGAAATGACTAAAATGTCCTTATAGGATTAAGCTCGAAGATGAGATTTTGGTTATGTTTTACGCGCCACAGCTAGCTGATTTTTCTGAGCTTTTTTATGTTGTCATGTTTGGTAAGCCAAAAAGCTACTTAAACGGTTAGACTAGCTTTTTAGGAGCTTTTTTAAAATATTCCAAACATACCCCTAATTAATTATAGAAACACATTTATTTAAAATGTCATTTTATATATTTCAGCTAGTTTTACCAAACGTCATTTTTTATCAGCTAGCTTTTCAGCTATCAACTAGCTTTTTATTTAACAACTAGTATTTCAGCTGTCAGCTAGCTTTTCAGCTAGTACGCCAAACATAGCATTTATATTTAGCAACTAGTTTTTCAGCTATCAGCTAACTTTTCAGCTAACAGCTAGTACGCCAAACATAGTCTTTTATATTACGTACAGTGTTCCAGCAATAGCAGTACTGATGTGAGTCAAATCTTGTTGAAAAGATCTGGCTAACCCAAAATCAGCTATTTTAGCACGAAGCCTGGAGTCCAATAAAATATTAGCAGCTTTAATATCTCTGTGAATAATTCGAATCTTGGTATTTTCATGAAGGTAGACTAGACCTTCAGTTGTACCAATAATAATTTCAAACCTCTTCTCCCAATTTAGTTCCTTCCCTTTTATCGCATCTACAATAGTCCACAAATTCAATTATTTAAAAAATATTAAAAGTTAGTCTTGCACTATTTAATAATTATTTTAAATTACCAAAGATGAAGTGATCAAGGCTCATATTGGGTAGAAACTCGTATACAAGAAAACTTTCGGGTCCTGAACAACTGCATCCTAACAACCTCACAAGGTTTTTATGTTCAACACTGCTAATCATGTTAACTTCATTATAAAAATCTGCTGCTCTAAATTTATTGTTGAAGAAAAGCCTCTTCACAGCTATTTCTCTTCCATCTGGAAGAACACCCTGAAAAAATTTCATGATAACACACACACACACACACACACAGTGTAAGAATTTTTATTATAATGTGTCAGTTACCTAGTGGGTTTTGTTTTAGAAGTGTTGATTTTATATAAAAAAAAGAAAAGTTTATATAAATTTACCTTGTAGACAATTCCAAAGCCACCTTGGCCAAGTTTATTGGAATCATTCCAATTTCCTGTGGCTTTTTCAATAGTGGAGTATTTAAAATTCAAGCTACTGTCTGTAAGAATCTTTGCTAGTTTTTTGGCATCATAAGAACCTGTTCTTTTCTTTTCTATAACTCTTCTTCTCCATATATATAAGCCAATTAACAAAGCAACAAGAAGAATTAATATGGAACTAACAGAAGCTGTGACAATAGCTATTATCCTCCCTGAAAAATCAATCAATAATATTCATCAAATGGTGGACCCTTAATAATGAGTATTATTCATTAATAGAATGGGGGTGGTTGGATCTGCATTTAAAGTGTTTATTGCAAGTGAAAATCAGTTTTTATTGTTTGGAAAATGTGACTAACTGATTATGGTTCTGATTCTTTTATTTATTTATTTAGGGTCGAAAATTGAAATAATCAGATTTGGAGAAATTGGTGTGGAGTTGTTTAGAAAACTGATTATTAAAACAATGATGGAGTGTTTATCTGATTAATGAAAGGGATAATCAGTAAAATAAGGAAAATGGGTGGGGTCATATCACCAAATGACCACTTTTTCTTAACATTTATTATAAAATAATCATTTCACAAAAAGTATTTTGAAAAATATTTCTTTTTACGAAATTGCTTTACTAGTGGATCCCAGTAAAATAATGAAAATAAGAAGAATTTCCCAAAAACAAGGAATTTCACAAAAAAGAAATTTAAGGTTTTTGTACAGTGAAATGGTTGGTTATTTTTTGATAAATGTTCAAAAATGGTCATTTGGTGATTTGAGTGATTATCCTTATAATATATATGTAAAACTACCTAGCTATTTGCAAGATTAATCAACTGATAATCTAATTCTGATTATGATTTTAATTATTTAACTTGAAATAATTACTTAACAAAAGCATATCCAAACACCCTCTTGGAATCTACAACTAATGACATTTCTACCACCCTAAATGTTTTACTTTTGTTGAGATAATATTTTTGAAAAAGTGCCACTAATTATCAATTTATGAAGAACAACAACTGATTATATTACCTCTATTGCTGCTTCTTGATGCCACAGGATTGAGAAAATTGACATCAGAATACCTCATAAAACACCCTGTATTCAATGCACGCCCTTCAGACCATGGTAAACACTGCAACATCAAATCAGATGCACTCTTTAAACAACTCCTGCAAGAACTTGAATTCAATGTCTTCCAGCATTGTGCCATAACATAAACTGATTCATTTCCATTCCCAGAAATTATAACTTCTCTTGCAAAGTAGTCAACATTAGTCAACGCATCAGTCACAGATTTCAAAACAGCTTGCCTTACCGAATCTTGAAACAAGCTACTCTTCCTTGTGGTATTCCCACAAACAGAGGTGTCACTAGGTCCAGAATACTCATCAAAGAAACTGAAATTCTGGAATCGCATAAAACAGCCATCGAGATAAACCCTAGCGCCAGTATAAGGAAAGCAACGGGAGACAAGATAATGTGCTGAATCATAGCAGATGATGCAATCGCTTGTAGAAAGATCACCATAGCATTGAGAAAGCCCAAAATTACCATCGGGTCCTGTGCCTGAATTTGCTGTTCCGAGAAGAGAAGATTGTACTTGGGTGCCAATACTTTCGGTTGTTTGGATGAAGTTTGAACTGAAGAGTATTGGGTTATTTTCTGTCTGATTATTGCATGATAATTGGATCATTTGGTTTCTCGGAACCCCCTCTGATATAGTTACTATAAGTAAAAGTATGATGAAGTTGATAAGAATAGATTCCATTTCTATCGATTTCTTCAAAGCTGAAATGAATTGAACTTGTTGATCTGGGTTGATTATGAGAATATGCTGTATGGTTCGATTCCTTCTTCATTTGCAGACGAAATTGCTAAAATAGCTTTTCTTCTGGTAGGGAGGCTGTTGAACAAGCAATTGTAAATTAGGTGAATTCTTTGAGTCGAAGCAAAGATAAAGATGATGATATCATGCACCATATTTATTGCAACGTTCCCAAATTAGAAAATTGAAGTAGAAATTTACTTGTTCACACAATCGAATAAGTTAATTTTGCTCATTGCAATTCACGAATTCCAACGTTTTTGTATCGATTCAATTTCATTCAAGCAATAAAAAATATACTGTATATTTTAGTCTCAAAAGTATATAATCAGATAATATAATCTGATAATCGTTTGGAAACAAAATTGAAATCGAGCAAATAGCAATTTGCAGGTCTGAATCAAAAGTAAACTAGGAAAAAATAGATTTCAATTCAAAAGAACTAACCAGCATAATTGAATTTATCAGCTTCGATTATGGTTTTACATTCAAATCAAATGTATTGATGGAAAAAATGACAGAGGAAGGAAGAATAGAACTTCAGCATCGATTGTTAGTAGAATTCAGCTGCTGGATCGAATAGATCAGATGTTAGATTTGAATTCTTACCATTTGTTGCAGTTTGAGTTGGAATGGAAACCCTGTTGAAGAAAAGAGTGCAAATGTTGATTTTTTTTTGGAAAGCGGAATGATTCAGACAGGAAGGTTGGCTGCAGGTTGAAGAATCCATTCTATTCAATGGTTGTTGACGCTGACGCTATTGACCTATTTGGACCTTCAACACGTTTATTAGGTAAAAACCCATTTTCTAAACCGATTGCCATATAGATTTAGAAAAAGTTTTTTCTTTTTCTTTATGTATACTAAAAATACTAAAATTCTAAGTTGATTTATCTAGGGTGGGAAGTATTTGGTTTGTAACTAGAAAATTCGAAAATTATATTAAATCAAAATTGAATTCATACTAAACCAAATTTCAATTTGGTTTTTGGTTTAATTTCAAACCATACCAAATTTCAATTTGGTTTTTCTAACACGTGCGGATGGTTCACTCTAAGGAATTTAATGAATTTTTCTTATTTAGAGATCTTGTATTGATTACAATATATAGTACAAGGTAAATAAACAAGCTATACTATTTTACAGGAGATAATACAAATCGTATATCAATCTTAACTCTTATCTCTAATACCCCGTTTCAAGCGTAGAGGTGGTGGACCAACACGTAGCTTAGTACGAAATTGCTCAAAAAGAGGTTTTGAAAGACTCTTGGTGAAGATGTCGGCTAGTTGCAAGGATGTAGGGACAAAACGAGTGTATAGACGTCTAGATGCAACTAGTTCACGAACAAAATGATAGTCAATGTCAATGTGTTTCACTCTTTAGTGGGATATTGGATGATCTGAAGGTAAGGAAAAAAGTTCATGCAAAAGGTGAGTAATCCAGACAATTTCAGCAGTTGTGTTTGCCATTGCTCGATATTCTAATTCACAGCTGGATCTTGAAACAGTAGGCTGCTTTTTAGCACTCCAGGACACTAAGTTTCCACCAAGAAAAATCGTGTAACCATATGTAGAGCGTCTAGTTTCAATGTACCTTGCCCAATCCGCGTCAGAGTACCCAATAAGAGAAGAGGATGGGGAATGGGTGAAGTCCAATCCTTAAGATAAGGTGCCCTTAACATATCGTAAGATACATTTAACTGCTTGATACTGGTCCACTGTAGGTACATGAAGGAGTTGACCGACTTGGTTAACAACATAAAACAAGTTGTGGCGAGTAATGGTAAGGTATTGGAGAGCACCTACTAAGGAGCGGTACATAGATGGATCAGAGCATGGAGAGCCTGTAGAGAGTAAAGAATATGATGTTGATGAGGGGGTGGAGGCAGGTTTGCCTTCTAGAAGACCATCCCTTAAGAGAATACCATAGGCATATAAGAAACAAGCCATCGTTTATGTATGATACCTCAAGACCTAAGAAATAAGTCAACTTCCCAAGATCATTCACTACAAATTCAGAGTGAATTTGTAAGATGAATTTGTGAATAAGTGGAGGGTGATTTCCAGTGAGAATCATATCATCAACATATACTAATAAGTATAGGATGTCAGCCCCACGTTTGAAAACAAAAAGAGAGGTATCAGCCTTGCTGCATAGAATACCAAGACTAAGAATAAATGAGCTTAATCATTGGAACCAAGCACGTGGTGCTTGTTTAAGTCCTTATAATGCATTATTTAATCTACAAACTGTTGTATTAGATGTCTAAGCCATAACTATTATTGGTATGTACTCGATCCGACTCGGTATGGTCCATTTGGGTTGCATTTCACCGAAACAATTTGTATGGATAATATTTTGAGAATAGTATATTTATGATTTATTAATATATTATAAGTTATAATATATTAATATCATATTATTTAATTAGTATCGATCAAGAATTAATTTGGAATTAATTTAGTGATCAAAAAAGACTAATTAAATATGGACTCTTATATATATATATATATATATATATATATATATATATATATATATATATTATATATATATATAATGGGTCAATGTTCAGTTAGGATGGGCTAAGCTTGCATGGATAGTCCATGGAGTTTTTAACCCATTGATCTTATGGAAATGGAAGGTCATGGGTATTAGGGTTTACATAAATGTAACCCTAATCCACCATACTATATAAAGAGGTCTTTGGCACATGAAATGGCACTAGTGTGTGAGTGAACAAGAGTGGGCCGATTTCTAGTGTGCTTATTATTCTCTCAAGTTTTCCAAGTTGTTTTGGTGATTTGTGATTCCACTTGAGGCATCCATATTATTGGTGCTAGGCTCTTGAAGCTCCAAGAATCAACCACAAGAAAAGGTATGTTATCCTACTAAGTTTTATATTACAAAGTACCCCATGGTATGCTAGTTAGGATGAGAACCTTGGAAAAATCATATTTGCATGTATAATAGAGAAATCATAGATCCAAGGTTTCTAGGGTTGCATGTACACCATAGGAGTGTTAGAATGCTCAAAACTCATCAGTGGTATCAGAGCCTAGGCTTGTTTTCATTACACTTGATGCAAAAATGATTAAAAAAGTCGAAAAACTGTTCACTGTTCAGTGGACTCGCCGAGTCCATGAGGGGACTCGACGAGTCCAAGTGTAAACTCATCCTACTCGTCGAGTAGGTTCTTGCACTCGGCGAGTAGGAGGCCCTGTGTGCAGATTTTCGAGTTTTGCTGCTGGAAATGGACTAGAATCATTACCCTAAACTGTTTTGGACTTATAAAACCTGTTTTTAGTGTGGTAATGATTATGATAATCCATTTTCAATGGTTATTATCAAAAATTTCTGTTGGGCTTATAGTGTTGCGTCATGGGCTCGGTCCTTAGCCCAATTTTGATTGCCGGTTTGGGCCTGTCCAACCGTGCATGTTTTCTCTAGGGTTTAGTATTTAAGTTGCATGCATGCAGCCTTTGTAGAAACGCTTTAAGGATTATTCTTTTTGAGATTGAAAACCCTAGCTCGCCTCTACAGTGGAAGTTCTTCATAGAGCTCTGCTGAGGCGTGACTATATTTGAATCATAAGCATATTGTTGATTCTGTTATTGTGTTTGTTTTGTTTGATCTTTATCTTTTACCTGTGAAAGATCTAATCGATCTGAGATTTATTCTCATCAATTGGTATCAGAGCAGGAGACTGTGTAATTCATACACATCTCTTCTGTTGAAGAAGTTATCAGGGTTTTTCCACATTAATTGATATTAATTGAGCCGTCATTCCATATTGGCGTGTCTCATTAATTGTCGATCTTACCCTAACGATAAATTACAAGTCTGATCTTAAACATGTTATCGATCAAACTTCATCACAATGTCCATGGATGATTCGCAAACCAATCCAATCAACATCTCCAACAGTATCGGATCAACGACTAGGATTCCAATCTTGTACACTCAAGATTATGAGGTTTGGACACATCACTTCGAAGATTATGTGAGTGGCTCAGAAGATGATGGGTACTTGATCTGGGAAGCTATCACTGTTGGCCCGTTTGCTCATACAAGCAGCTCAAGGATTGTCAAAACTCAAAAGGAGTACAATCAGCTTGTGAGTGATGTGAAAGACATTCCTCAAGACGAGAAAGATAAGTTTAAATGTAACATTAAAGCCTTAAGAATGATTAGGTTTGCATTGCAGTCAGATACATTTCGTTTGGTGAATTCTTGCACTACAGCTAAAGAGATATGGGACAGGCTAAAAGAATTGTATTCCACCGACGCAGATCTGGAGCATTCGATTCAAACTCTTTTGCTTTCAGAGTTTGGTGATTTCAAACAAAAGCCCGAAGAGAAACTAGTTCAGGCTTTTGATCGTTTTAATCATCTCTTGAGTAAGATGATAAAGCATGGGATCGAAAGGAAAGTTATTGAACAGAAAGTTACCTTCATGAACGGTCTTAGACCCGAATGGATGGCGGTCGTGTCAACAGTAAAGGCACATGAACAGTTTAAATCGTATTCTCTGGCGAAACTGGTGGGAATTCTGAAATCCCATGAAAATGCTCTGACTAAGGAAACGAGTGTGGTGTCTAGCTTGGGTTCGTTAGCCCTTGTTTCTAAAGGAAAAAGTTCTGTTGAAGAAGAGGAGGAATTAGATCTTTCTGACTATGATCTAACCAGTGAAGAGTATGCCCTGATGGTCTCTAATCCTAGAAAGTTCATTAAAAGGAAGTTCCCAGCAAACAAAAACCGAAATTGGCAGGGAAGTTACAGCGCTGAAAAGGTTAAGGAGGAACCGAAGACATCGTCGAAGTCAGAAGAGTCCAAGAAAGAAGTGAAAATTGGTGGAGACTCAG